TGTTGTATGCCAAGAATACTAACCTCTACAAAAATAAACTTCAGCTGTGGACCCTGATTTTTCAGTGTTGCACTGTGTGCTGCTCAGACTTATGAAAGCTGAAGGAAAAAGAGTCTGTATAAAATAAAGCTGCTTCTGACTTCAATTAGCATTGAAGAATGTCTTAAAGTTTTCATAATTGTACATAAGCTAGGCAGACCAGCAAATCAGTGGAAGTGAAACAGACAGAAGTAGTATGAAACCATGGAAAGAGGAGCCATGGCTTATGGGAACACCAACCATGATTACTCCTGCAGCAGCTGCTGAATAACCTGAAAGGTAACGTTCTCACAGCCTTGTCTGTGTTTGGTCTCCCCCTCTGACAGCCTGAGATGAAGTTGGGTGGACAGCTTGGGTATCTACTGTCCAGTTTAACCTTGCTTTGCATGTCACAAAGACAGGAACCCAGTCCTGCTTAGCACCTGAGCTTGACTGTCAGGGTAAGCAACTCTTTAAAGACCAGCTGGGCACACAGAGCAGCAGATCCTGGCTCTCTGAATTTAAAAAAAGGCAGAATACTACTTCTAATGATGCACTTGGAGCAGCTCCCAGCACACCAATGTTAGAGGTTGGGAGTGTGTGTATAGGTTCTCTGTCTGCTGCTCTTTCAAGGTTTGTGCTGGAAGGTGAATGAATGAAAATTACAAGCTTTTTTTCCCCCCCATTTTTTAGACTTGGGAATAAAAAATGCTGAGCTTTCATTTCCATCACTTTTCCTCCAAGAGCAAAACACGTCTGCAGAGATCTTTAATGCCAGTCTGTAGCGTGTCTGTGTTTTGCATCAGAATGCCTGAACACTGACCCTGATGTGAGCTTTGAGGGTCCCCTCCACCCTCAGTTACCATTTGCATCTGTGATGAGGTGTGGCATCATGCCTAACAAGCAGCCTCAGGTGGAAACAGGCACAGCTGCTGCCCATTTTGGGTGGGTCAGAAACCAGTTTCAAGAAAGCAAGCCTGCAGGGTAATAATGTAGAAGACTTCCTTGTGTAGGCTATAGTTGAGAAGGGGATTTACTTGGGGAGCTAGGATATGCCAGAAGGTATGAGCAGACCCCAGAAAAAAAGCTAAATACCTGAACTCACAGGTGATGCTAGGCACAGTCTGAACTGATCTTGCCACCAGGCAGGTTGTAACATAATAGTACTGCAGAGAGACAGCCCAGCACCTGCATTCAGAAAACACAGATTCAGTCTGGCCTTAGAGCAAAGAGACTTAGCTGATGAGGTCTCTAATTAGCTAGATCGAAGTGATGTGAATGACTACTTGACTAGAATCTCAGATTATAGTCAGTTTTGCAGCGTTCACCTGAGCCTAAGAAAAAAAAAGGCATGATTACTAAAATCATAATTTTTTTATCTTCCCTTAACAGCTGCACTTAAAATAAGCCTCTATAACAGTCAGATTGTTTCAAACCTGCCATCGCAATTTACCACGCTTGCCTGAAGCAGCAGCAGATGAATGTAAACAGCAGAGGGCTTGTGGTCCGTGGCGGGCACGGGCACGGCTCCGCGCTGCTGGCAGACATCCACGGCCTGAGTCACGGAGCGCAGCTCCTCTGCGCTGCCACCGGAGCCCACCGGAGGGGCAGCCGGAGCCTCCCTCCCTCCATCCCTCCCTTCCTCCATCCCTCCCTTCTCCCGGCGCTGTCTCCATGTCCCGGCAGAGGCTCGCTGGTGTCTCCCCGCCAGCCTCCAGCGCACAAAAGCAGGCGGGGTCCAAAAGCTGCACATCTGCCGGCTGGATTGTTGGAGTACACAGATGTGCAGGGCAATGAGGATCACATGCAGCACACGCGAGCAGCAAGCAGAGAGTCTTTCAGCTCTACACATCAGCATTTCTAGCAGCAAAAAACATCTGAAGGATGTGCTAAATAGCCTGCCTGTGAGTGAGATTCTCGTTGGAGTCACATGTAGGTGGGCTGTAAAGAGAAGAACCATTATCTGTCCAGAACAGGATCATCCGGGAAAGCAGGCATTTGTAGCATGAAGTTTCAGCTCATGCAGCCTCTTTTTCTCATTTTGCTTGTGTCGACTTTTAGCCAGCAGCACATAAAAGAATTCAAATTCTCTAGATTCAGGATCCTAGTGTTTTGTTTATATTAAAGTTTAAATTTTTCTGGAAAAAAAAAAGAAAAAAGAAAAGGAAGCAGATTCTTATCCCTTTCTTCTAAAACAAGTGTAGCATTTTCATGGACCACAGTTTTGACCTATCACTGTACAAACAATCTTGAACTGCAAAGAAGTAATCTGAAGACAAAAGGAATTATTTACCTCTGCACAGAAGCTTCTTGTCTGTTCCTGTTCAAAGCACATTAATGTCCATCTCTGACCTAAAATCAAGTAGTATCTTTATTCCTTCAAAGCTGAACTAACCTGTGTTATCCCTCATTTTCTGTGGAGTTCTAGGCTGACAAACATCAGGATTCTGCTCCAGGACTTTAAGTTTGATGATTTCCAGAGTTGATTTAAAGGAACTGCAATTATGAAAATCAGAAATTATGACTGCCAACAATTTAAATTGAGAGAAAAACCTCTCCAGTCAAGAAAACCTGAACGAAGACCATATGTAAGTCCTTAGCACTGACTGGCAAAAACACCAGTGGTTCTTTTGAGTGTTTGCCAGTTTCATGAAAGATACAATACATAACATTTTCAGGGTCTGCAGGAATCTCTTGTGATTCTTTACAGTTCAACTCATCAAGTACTGACATTTTCATCTTCAGTTTCAGCATTTAAAGCAACTTTTCCAAGCTAAAATTGTACAGTTCTTCAGTCTTTTCTTGTCAGCTATTATCATGTATCTCTCAAAGACTATAATAGATTTATACTAATTGATTTAGGTCTTCTCAAAGATAGGGCTAATAAATTGAACTTTTACACCTACTACCTTTTCTTAAGCTTTCTTAGCCTTAAAATGAGGTGGGCTTTTTCCCTCTGAAAGAATTTAGGATTCGTTTTTATTGCAGAGAGGATCTCAGTTACTTGACAATACATTTAGGTAGAACAAAGTCTTTTTACAAATAGTTAGTTATGCCGAACAAAATATTAACAAAAGAAATTTCAACTTTTATATCAATATCAACAAAAGCTACACTCACAATCTGATGTAGAGTTTGTAAAGAAAAAAATAGTGGATCCATATTTATAACTCACCTATTAAAAGTGGTTTTTTTGACTCTGCATCCAAATCTCATCTTGTCTCTGTGATCTCCAACTTTTCAGGCAGGCTCTGCCTGAGGATTAAATTCTGGCCTGTTCTGGAGAAACTGGGGAGTTTTCTTAACTTATTAAGAGCTCTGATCAGCACATCAAGGAAGTGTAGGGGGCTCTCCTTTCTTTAAAAACTATTTTGTACAGATGAGCTGAGGCTGAATTTGCATTTAAACTAAACAAACCTCTTTATCAAGTAATTTTCTTGAATATAATTCTTTCCAAATATTTCCACAGCTAATTTTTTTAAAGTGCCCATAATGATGTCACCAAACAGGTAGCTTATTATTCACATTACAAATCAAAATCATAAAATAGTTTTGAGTGAATTCTCTAAGGAGCATTTAGTGAAGGAGAATATGGGTATCATATTGTTGAAAGAGCTCCTAGGGATCCTCAAAGCAGGGAGAATTTCTTCTTCTTTTTTGTTAAGTGTGCCTGCTCTAAATAAATGCTTGATGGTTTGTCTTGTGTATTGAATGAAAAATAATTAATGTGACCATCTAGTTAGGTACATGTGTTGAATACTTCATTGGCTGGTGTTCACAGCTAAAAGCCCTATGCTTTAAAGCTTCTTTTTCCTCTCTGGCTGTGCAGTAATCTTCAGAACATGTTAGCCTTTATCATGAAAGCTTATCTTCTCAGCAAATGAGACTTCAAGTCCTGTCTCACTGGTAAAGTAGTTTAGCTCTATGCCAAGCTGGAAAACTTCACCCTCCCCCAGGGGTAAATAAAATCCCTACAAGCAAGAGTTCAAGTTGAGCAAGTTCTTCACTAGTTACTCTTTCCATGAGTCACACATTTCTCTTCTGCAGAATGTGTCCAGATCCTTGTCTCAGTGATATAAGATCAGCATAATCTAAATTACCCTTCATAGCTGAAAACAATACCAACCCCTAATACTAATGAGAATAAAAGCCCTCTGCAGTAACAACCAAAAATTTCTTCTCCTTTCCTTCTTCAGTGTTCTTCACTCTCTTACTCGTCTTGCTGTTTGTCCTAGGTCTGGCTCTCTAATCAAAACAACATGCTTACCTTCTCACATTGATTATTTCTAAAGCAGCCATTAATCTTAATGTTTTTCAGTCAGGGAGATGCTCTTCTTTTCTCATATTTTCTGATCGTGTCTCCATCAGGAAATTATCCCATTGGCATGTGGTCATTCCTCGCAGCACTCTGGTGTACAAGGCTGAGACATAAACCAGCAGCAGTGGGGTGGAGGACACAGAATCCGGTTTCAAGGGCTAGCACTGTCTGTTAAAGTCCACTTCTAATTTGAATAAAGGTTCTTATATTGGGGAAAACCTAATGCTCATATTGTCTGATCCTGTAATCAACTAGTCTTGAACAGTCTTAACAATTATATACAACCATTGTTTCCACAGTGTAATTCCAGCAGGAATTATAAATAAGAAAATGTTTTTACTTTTGTGACTTACTAAACCAGAAACACTGACTCAGAAGATAACCTATTTTATTCAAAGAGGGATGTACAGGACAGTGATTAGAATCTTCCAGGGCTAGGTGTTATTTTAGGAGGGTACATGAGAAACCTTTCTTCAAAAATAAGAAAATAACATTCAAAGTAACAAAGAATGCTTAAACTGAAAATGTGGGTGAGAAACCATGAGTTAGTTTTCATTGTAGTGCTGAATCCTCATATTTCCAGCCCATCTGAAATACTGTGCACAACAAGCAGAGATGTCCCAAGGGGGACTTTTGATATTTATTGGGTATTACGATAATACTTTCACAAAGGTTTGTGTATTGTCAAGAGAATCTTGTCAAAGATAATAATCCCACTGAACTGCTTGGAATGTTCTCACAGTTTCATTTTCCAGGATATCTCCAGAAGTGTAATTGGCAATGTCCAGGCATTGTGGAAGATGAATAGTATTCTCCTGACCTTCAGTAGTAGGTTAAGCCACTAGGTAGCCTGTTGAGTCCAAAAGGAGTTACACCAATATGCTGGCTGCATAAACCTGTAATTTAAAGATGTTTAGAGTCACAAGATTACAAGCATACTGAGGTAACAGAAACTATGGCACAAAACACGTTCAACTGCAGGCAATTAATTATTCTGATTATCTCTTTGTTCTATAGGTCTTTTTCTATCTACACGTTTTATGGTATACAAGAATAAATTAATCAGGATTTTTATATAAGACGTGCTAATGTACTTAAGAGGAAAAATCAAAGAACTATAATAGGTTTTGCTTTGTTTTAAAGGTACAATGGTGTAAAAGCCAAGCACGTGGTTTAGGTTCCCTTTTATTGCTTTAGAGTGTTGTCTGGCTTTTCCAAACCATATACATAAATATGACTGTATGACCTGGAGATAGGAAAGCACTTGTTTAAACATGTGCATGCCCACACCACCACAATTTACAGAAACTCAGAGCTGGCACTGACATAGAAATTTAGAGTTGCACCACACATACTGAACAATTGCTCTAATGTTTGAAATACAATGGCTACACTGTTTTGTTTCCAAGTTCTTTAGGAAAAATCAGTACAAAGTTTTTTGGTACCCTAGTACCTCTCTAGATACTATTGAAAAGTATTCATTGTATTATTTCTCAATTAGCTGTTACTAATACTCTAAAAAAAATCTCCAAATTAAAGTTTAGGCACAACTAACTGGCATTAAGGAAAAATCTTTGAAATTCAGTGGAAATGCTGTAGTAGCCTGTGGATTCAGGAGTGGCAGGTGGAACACAAACAAATAAAACAGGCTAAGAAAAAATCCCTAAATTATATATACCAGTTTCATTGTTATAAGCCAGCAAGTTAACCAAGCACTTTGTTTTATGAGGTGTTACAGAGTCAGAGGAAAAGAGGTTAGGAGACTCTACCAAAAAGTAACAGTGCAAGGTAGTGAAGGAAAACCCCCACATTTGTCCCTGTTAGAAGCCAATTCCCTGTGCTGGATGCAGTTGTGATAGACACTGTATAAACTTGCACAGCCTGATGCTCCTCAGCCCAGAGTAGTCCATTTGGAAAACCCCACGTTTTCCCAGCTTAGCTTCACAGGTTTTCCCTCCATAACTCTGCATGGATCACGGTCCAGTCACTTTTGCATACAGGCACTCTCAGTGAGCAGTTGTGAGACAGAAACATTTTGGTGGCATGTTCATTCCCAGCTTATTTTTTGATGGCAAAACATACTTCTGCTTTGCTGGTCTCCCAAACTGATTTTGTCATCCTGACTCAAGGAAAGCACCTGTGTGGGACAAAGGCACTGAGCACACAGCTGCCAGTAGGTAGGATAGGATGTACTAACCTGTCAGGAAATCTCTGTGAGGCTCTAAGAGAAAGAAAAGGTGCTTAGCTATTCCAAATGATATCTTTTTGAAAGAGACACTGAAAAAAATGTGAGCCAAAAAGTGATATTTTCAGCCTTGGTCTCTGCTGCATTTGACTCAGGTAGACAGAAATTTTGATGGCGTTACAGGACTGCTACTGCAATTTTTTTTCCTTGTACTTCAGCAGTTCTCAGCAAAAATGCCAACTTATCTCTGTTTAAGCTGAGACTGCTGTAGCTCATTGTATCAGGTTCATTTGTAACACTGTCTAGTTCTATTAAGCAGCTAATAATACTCACACCTATGCAACACTTTTCATTTATAGACTTCAACACACTGGCACAGCTGTACCCCCATTTTACACAGGGGAAAAGTCAAGGAAAGCAAGGCCAACACTGGACTTTCTAAAGCACACAGCAGTTTGGGTGGCAAAAGGATGTCGGATATTACTTGTTTTTTTCCCTGGTGTGCTGGAAAAGGGTTTAATTAGGCACAGTGGACTTCAAGTGTGCAGCCATTTACGGGGCTGAAGGCCCAACAGGGTTCCCGTGTCTTGCAGGCACAGCTGGTTGTGTTTTAGGGGCAGGGGCTCAGCCTGAAGTGTGAAAGCCCCTCCTGCCACAGCCCCGGGCACAGCACAGCTGCTGCACGCACCCACAGCCTGCTCCCACCTTACAGGGACAAGCAGAGACACAGAGGGACACAGAGACACAGCCTCGGAAATGTTGGTGGCACGAGATCGGGGGAATGTGGAGACTGTGAAAGGAGAAGGGGAAACAGCAGAAACTTCCAGGAGAGTGTGAGAAAATACATTCAGGGAAGAAGAGGCAGGAAATGCACCTTGGACACCTAAGTTTTGATCCAGCAAAGAACATAAGCATGCCTTAGGTGTCCTTTTGAAATCGAGGAGCTGGAATACAAGGATGCCTGAGCTTTGCAGTCTTGACACTTTTCCACTCATATGTCTGTCTCTTTCCTTGCCCTGTGCTGGAAACATTTACAGAATTATAGTCCAGTTCTCCTGAGTACCATGCCCAGGTAAATAGAAGCTTAACAGCACAGGAAGCCAGCCCCTTTCATTACACAAGAACAAGACAGACCATAAAGCAAAATCCCAGGGTGAGTGAGACTGCCAGCAGTGCAGTCCTTATTGTTAGGAGCAACCCAATCAGCCCTGGGGCACGGGCATACCAATGGCATTTTCATGGCCTCATTTTCATTGCCCCACCACTTCTTCGTGAAGCTGACACTCTCTTTTAATTTCCAGTCTCCATTTATGCAGCACCACTTTACACCAACTCCCTGCTTTCCCTGTGAGAATTTTCTTTCCACCTTAGCAAAGTTCAGGCTTTTCCGGAGTGGATAACATGTACATTGAGTTATCTGCAAGTCTATTAGCACTTCACTTACAGATTAATAACCACTTCTATTTTTATACAGGACTTTATATCCAGTGTTCTTCCTAATACCTTGTAATTGGTAATATAAATTTCTTTTACAGAGGTGTAGATCATGCTCTTATCTTAAACCACTAAAGAAGGTGTGATGCTTAAGAATTATTAACTAGACTAATAGATTTATCAGTTAAATAATTAAGCTTTAGCATTAAAAAAACCCATTTAAATAATAGCCTTAACAGAATATTTAAATAATGTGGAATTAATACTTTTATAATTAGATATATTAGAGAAAACACACTTCAAGAACATTTTAGAAAACACTAAACATTAGAATGTTTAGTCTGAGGGTGAAGCTTATCAGTTTAAGAACTCATTAAATATTGGCATACAGTTACTTGACAATTAATCACATCCTGACTCATGTATTCAACATGAAATTCACAGTGGACCCTTCTGTTGAAAACAAAATACTTTTAATGTGGTTTAAGTTTTAAGGCATTCATACATTTACCAGTTAAACTGCTAGGTAAAAAAAAAAAAAGATTAACAATGAGCAGAAATATACTCTAAGATAAGCTATCAAGAGTCCAAATACTCAAAACAATCATAATCTGACTCTCTCTAAAACAGTTTAAGAAAAGTCACAGCAGCTGTTAGGTTCTAATTTCCTTTCAAAATTAGATTATTAATTTACATACAACTAGAAGGTAAATTTAGTTATACCAGTAGAAGTATCAGTCTTCATATAATGTTATCGTTCCCTATTTTGCAACAATTCCCTAATTACAAAGAAATTCTAAGTTGCTGGAAAACTGTGCCATCAGACAGCTGGTTCAGCCAATCAAAACTAGGATTTTCTTTTTAAAGTTAATATTGCCATTCATGGCCATGGGCTGCGTGAGGCTCTAACCCAGCTGTTCAGGATAACAAGGGAGCAGACAAAGGCGTGTTTCACCCTTTCCAACCTTGCTGCACTGCTACTGCTTACCTTTGGCTTTGGGAAATGATGGGAGGGCACGGGCTTCTGGCTGGGGCACAGCCCTGGGAGCTGGATGAGGGGACACCCCAGGCTGCAGCAGACACCTCCAAGGGCTCCCCTCCTTGCCAGGGCTGCTGTCCCCTGAGCACTCACCTTAACCCATTCTAAGCAGAGCAAATTTCTGCTTAGTGACTGGAAAGGGGAAAACCTAAATCAGGCCCCTCCACCAGTTTGAATCTTTGGTCACATCTGAGTGGGTGACCATACAGAAGTGTGCCGTGATAGCTCTCTGTGCACAGGATGTCCACATGGGAGGTATGCACAAAACCCTAAAAATACGAGACTATAAATGTACTGCAGAGTCAACAGTAAGTGAAATGTTTTCAGAAAATCCTAAAGGGAAGAGTGGAAAAAAAGCAGAACAGCCCCCTGGGAACTCTGCTTTGCTAAGTCATAAAACCCTCAGTTTTCCCCGTCTGGAAAAGCTGTCCACAATGCTCAGAACAATATGCTTTTATTTTTAGCCTTTTACACCAAATAACCATGAAGAAAAAAATACCCAGTGTGAAATGTTGTAAGCGGGCAAAAGTACCATCTTGCAGTTAAGACAGATAGATTTTTAAAAGCTGAAGTTTGAGACATGAAATTGAAATTGTTCAACAAAGTTTACAAGTAAATTTAATATTTCAGGAACATGTTTATGTCGTTAACTAAAACCTGTTTTCAAATTGCTTTAGCTTTTTATGCTATGTGTAAAAAATATTTCATATCTTCACTTTGAAATTCACAAAAATTTAGAACCTTAAAAAAGTCCTGAAAAATGGACATGCCAAATGTGTTGTTAATAAACAAAAAAAATTTATTTTATTGAATAAAATGGCTTGAAATCAAGCCAAACTTCCAAAATGGAAAGGAAGATACATTTTTTCTTCTTTTTCTGAAGGCATCCAACAGTGCAGGAATGCTTTGTTGAAAATCTAAAGATGGACAAATAATCAAAAACTTGGTGGAGCGTGGAGCAGCAGATTGTATTAATTAAACCACAATTAACTTTGCGGCACTATTTGGTTTTGCATGGTTGCTCAGTATATTCATGCGTATTGTATCTAATCCTGCTATCACCAGATAGACAAAACTCCAGACACCAGGAATTTGGTTTGGCTAAGTCAAGCACAGTGACTTATTTCAGATGCTGATATCTATTTCTCAAAAAGAAGCATTGTTACTTTTCCCTGTATATTCTACAGCCCAACTCAGCTGAGGCTCCGTTGCGTGGGTGTGCTCAAGGCAAACCTTCAGACAACACTCAGATATTACAGAAATTTATAAAGATGTTAATGAGACTTTGCCTGGGTGTGTTGCTGTTTCTGCAGCTGAACTGGGTCAGAGACTGAAGCTCCTGGGCACCCTCCCAGCTGCTCACTGTTGCTTTTTCTTTTTTTCACTGCCAGAGGTCACCCTCTTTTGAGATTTTCCTCTGCCACTGCACGATTAGGTTGGCACTGTGAAATGACATAATTGTGACTGTCACGATGGCTTTATCATTGGTACCTCTCAATAGGTACTCAGGTTACAGATAGTGAAGAGCAGAGTGAACTCGGTCACTGGGCTTGCTAATACCTGCACCCACCGCTGTGGCTCAGGCTGCTGCAGGAGTTCAGAGTTTACAGCAGCAGAAAGCCATTGGAGGCACTTCTCACCTCGAGGGGCTGGCAAACCCCTCTGGGTACATGAGCCCCTCTTTGCACCCCTCCTGAGAGATGGAAACCTCTACTTCAGTTAACTGGGCTAGTCTATATTCTCAGCCTCTGCTGTGCCATAAATGCAGACCCTCTCAGATGCCATTCAAAGCAACCTTTTAATCTAGCACAGCACAGGATAGGTGTTAAGGAACAGATACAGATAAGGTTTCACTGCATTAACACCTGTGGCAATGTTTCCCAGAAATCTAACAAACTGTAAGGGGAAGAGGTGATAAGATGCAGGGTAGTTTTGGCAGCCTGCCACCACAAACTGGTGTATGCTGAATGTATGTCACAGGCAGATCCTGTGCAAAGGTCACAGCAAGCTAAACATTACAAATCCTAAAAGGTCCTTCCACAATTAACATTTTAAAAATAATGTATATTATGTAAGCTGCTGTGATTAAAAGAGGCCAGGAACAGGGAAATGTAGCCTGCAGCCAGGATTGTGCTAATTATACAATAGAAATATTAATCAAGTGAACTTAAGGGTGGGAAGCAGGCAAGAGGACGGGGGAAGACATGACATAATCTCCTTAGTACCCTGTGATATTCCAGTGCCCTGAAAAACGGGACAGGCAGACAGAAAGAGAGCAGTCCTGCCATCCTGGCTGGGAAAAGCTCTCTCTAGCAAGACAGGGGTTCTGCCTGGGCTGAAAAGCCACATACAGTGTCTCTGAGTGCCCACCAGTGCACACCACAGCTGGGGTGCTGTGGCCTGCAGTACCACGAGCCCATGAACGCCTTGAAGAGGATGCTTTCCAAATGTAACTTTAATAGGGAGTTTTGTTTTACTTTTTCCTACCTTGGTACTACAGACTGATGGTTTGAAGCCCTGTCTTAAAGGGAAAATCGCACTGTGAGTAACTTCATACAGTAAAGCTCTCTGCTCCTGCGAGGATGGCAATGTTCAAAGCTTTTCCTGTAACCAGCATTCCTATCTGTATTTTTCAGGATACCCTAATGATAATATAGTCATCCTCCTCTTAGTCACAAGGCTGTTTGGGAGATGGTATCTCTGGGTCTGAGGTGGGGGAGCATCTGCCAGCAGACTGCATTAGCCAGGAAAATCCTCTGGCACAGAGGGGGAGTCGGGAGCCTGCCAAGTACAGAGCACGACAAGAGAGTTTATAATGAAGCAATGAAGCCTGTGCATGCTTCTGCCTTCGTTTGCTTGCTGCTATGGAGGATCATCCTTATGTTACAGCCCAGCTCCTGGCTTGTTTTGTTTAGATCTACCAGCTCAACTCAACTTCCTTTTCCATCCTCAGCTGATCTTGCTGGTAAGCTGGGCACTACTATTGAAAAATCCTTTTTGTGTCTATCCCCTCTTCCTCAGCATCACTCTCGTGTGTGGCTCTGAACTTCCTTACTTAATTCTTTCCGTCCCTTCGTCATGACCTGACATCTTTATCAGCCTCTGATGTTCAGGTTTCTGGGCATGCAGCACACAGCACCTTGGGGCTGGATTTCCCTGGCAGGAGCCTGGGGAGCTGCCAGCAGTAGTAATGAGGAAGAAGGATGGAGAATCTCAGCCAGATTCTGTCACATGAATGCACTACCTTACAGCAATTAGGAACCTCACAGCAGCTTGGATATACATGCCCTTTACACACTGCCCACTACTCACTTGTGTAGTGTATTTTTCTTAGCATTTTTTTTCACTGATCTTTTGAACAGTATTTTGGAGCAGCTCCCAGTACCAGCAGTAGGATAAATAGAGTAGTCCTGTTCAACTTTAATTAGTAGTTTGCAGCAAGGATAGTATTAAAATATCAGCTCTTACTATCATAATTACATAAACTTTCTTGCATGCAAGCACCCACTCAAAGGAATGCATATGTCCATACCAAAAGTTCTTTCAATACCTTTGCTGGCATCTGTTATATATTGCCTGAACAAAGAAAGAGAATGGATCTTTTCAGCCATCTAGCCATTCATACCTAAGGTCTTTGTTTCTCGGGCACAGGAATGAAGCTAGTCCTCAGGAAAAAAAGAAAAAAAAAAAGGTTAAAAAGACCTGAATGTAATCTTGTTTCCCTTCATGATTAACTGAAGTTGGGGAAAAAAGAGATCTCTTTCATGAGCCTTAGGTCGCTGGAGACATATTGGAGTCATGCTGCTCTGTCAGCTGAACAGGAGCTCCCAGTGTGACACGCTGCTAAAAGAGACAATGCTGCTCTTGGATACATGAGCAGATACCCAGGGGTGTATCCAGCAGGATGGCTATTAGATGTCTGCATGCAGTCCTGAGCAAATACTGCTGGAATACTGTCCTGGCCTAGTGCCTGCAGTTTAAAAGCAATGCTGATAAATTATAGGAACTTCAGAGAAAACCCACAAGAGTGTTTAACATGGACATGGCCAATCTTCCTTGTCCTATAAGCTCTGTACCAAAATCATTGTTTGAACAAAAGCCAGCAAAGGGGAATTCCAGGAAAAATCAGAAGAAGACAAAATTGGTGCCCTAGGAATCCCACTGCCCACTGCTCACTGCAGTGATGAAACACTGCCATGATAGTGAACACTGCCAGAAGATGAAACAAGGCCATGACAGAAGATGAGTTGGGCACTCACCTTTTCCATAACTGTGCCACAGTCCTGGCATGAGTTGCACATTAACACTTCCATTTCAGGAAGTGTAGCTGGAGCACTGCTAATAAGTTACCTGGAAAATAAACATCATCTATGAGAAAGTCCATTAACTACGACTATTTAGCTCATCAAAAGGAGGTTAAGGACTGAGTTCAGAGTCTGACACATATATAAGACTTTGATAACAACTGCTTCAATTCAGTAAAGGAGAAGGACTCTGAATGTTGAATATGAACAGTGCCTTCATTTCCTAAGGTGAAAAAACAATTTTTGAATGTAATACAGCATTTGAAATTTGGAAAAACAAAGTTCAAAGCAGCCATAACCTCATTTTCATTTTCCTTCTTAAAACCATTATCCTCCTCACAACCCTGAGAGCAAGTATTGTTTATTCACATGGTAAATGGCTGTAGCTGTATAATTAAAAGAAATCTCATTAAAAAGATTCTTTTCTTAATCCTACATTGGAAAGAACAAATAAAAATTTTCGTGCCCATTTCTAACTTTCTACTTCGGAAATGCCTATTTATGACATAGAAATTAATTAAACTGGAATAAAACCCCCATATCCTAAACTCTAAGCAGTCCAGATACTCTGGCAGCTTCTCTCTTTTCTGATGGCAAGCTACTAACAGTACAAACCTACCAGTTTCTTCTGACTTACTACATGAAAAAACCCAACCATTCAGAAGCCTTTGGCCAGGATTACCCCTGCTATCAGTTTTACAATGTCACAGTGGATTAAGGCACAGAATGATTTTTTTGCAGTCCAAAGGTATGCAAAAGTGCTACTAGGAGATGAAGAAAAGCAGAAGATTCTGGGAAGTCAACACTTGCAATTACAAACTCTTAAATAACATTAAATGTATTTTTATGAAGCAGTACAATCCCTCTTCCTTGGCTTCCTTATGAATAGGCTAATAGGAATCACATAACAATGATAAGTGCTTCTGCAGCCATTATTGTGGCTAGTGGGTTTTTAAAACAACAACAGAATTATTGTATGTTCCTATTAAATCCTCTTTGTCACCATTGATAGAATTGATCGAGTGCTCTTCAGCAAATAAACACATTGGTGAATTACTCTTTTTCTTGGTCAGCTGTTGTGTTGACAGGACTCTTTTATCCTTTGAGTGGCAGATGGTATGTGTGGCTGCTGGGAGGCAGCAGACAGAAAGTCAAGTCCAGGGCTTAGGGAACAGGCTAAGAAATGCCAGTGGAAGCTTGTGCAATGTGCAGGAATCAGCCAGATTCAGAAGGGAAGGAGAAGCCCTGTCTAGTGTCTGTTGAGACTGATTTGGGATAGCCATCGGGATTATCTTCCTGATGACACAGATGATAGTTGCTTTTAAAGATGCCATAGTGATTTCAAACATTGTTTGATTTCCCCAGCAATTTCAGAAACTGTCTCAACCTCCAGGAAATCAGATGCTGCTGAAATACTTTGCCACAGACAAGACCAACACAACAGCAAAGGGAAATGCCACATGCAAACATATTAGAGGAAAAGGAAAAGTGATTAGAAGAGTCTTCCTCTAAATTTAAATGTTGCATATCATAACCCTCTTGTAAGTCCAAATGTTTGGGTATTTTTAGCACCACTCTACCAAATTAAGAGGAGGAATTAAAACCAGTAAATCAACCTATGCTTGCTTTCTGTACCTCAACACGCCACATCCAGTATGCCTGTGGTTTCCAGTGATCAGAGAAAGAGCAGCCTGTGAAATTAAGCAGGTATTTTTTCCTCAGCAGTGATGTTTTGTTTCCCATTTCTCCCTGAGGCAGACCCAGCCCTGGCATTCCGGCAGCATCCCTACTCTCGAGTGCCAGCTGGGCAGGGAGAGTTGGCGCAATGCATTTTGCAGCTACTCTCTGTGTGCACCCGTCAGTGTCACTGACCACATTCCTGGCACCTGACACACACTGGAACACCTCTCCTACACATTTTTCTCCTCCAGCTTTGGCTCATTCCAGTGGTTTTCTTAGAAAATCAAACTAACTATGGTCGTATTACTTTAAAATGTAAAGCAGACATTTTGGCCCCATAGCAAAACATTTTTAGAGTGAAATACTGTGGAGATGTACAGAAGATATTTTGACCACCAGAGGGGGCCTGTATTGTCCCAGATTTAAAGTAAAACCAGAAAAGCGTGTTTTAGGAGAGAAATAAAACAGTAAGTATGTATTTGTACCAGAGTAGCACCTACAGGCATGGAGTAATGATCCATTCATTCCCTGAGATGAAGGGAAAACAAGTTTGTGTGGGATGAGCAGGGAGTGCTGCTGGTACCCACTCCATCAGCTGTGCTCAGAAGGTATCCTACAGAGGAAATTCTTCAGGAATAATACGAGCTTTTTTGTGAATCTGTATGTGAAATACAATGAGATTATTTTGCTGTTGCTTTTAACCACTGCCTCTCCATCTGTATTTCAGTAAAAAAAATGCTGTAGATGCAAGTCAAGTTTTCAAGGCTCTTGTCATATGTCATGGTATTAATATTTGTCATAACTACAAATGGGAAAATTTAAAAACATCGATATTTTATCAATATTTTGCATAGATCTAAGACAGGGTTCTTAGGTTCCCAGTTGAAGTACAAAGACCAGACTTCAGAAATACAGTTTCCAGTTAATATTTCTAATTATAGTGAGAAATCCTAGCACAAAATTTAACAAGATTGGAAAAGCTTAAAAAAAGGCTTTTTCACCCTAAGTAAATGAACTGATCTACAACTGAGAGAAACCATTTTCCAGTATCTTCTTAGTTATTGTACTGGATAGCTGAAAAGTACTTGTTTTCCCTTTCTCTGCACTTTGCTTTTTTTAATCTGTGTAGAATGAATACAAACCATGTGTAATGCCATACCCCACACTTGCAGTCTAAAGAAACTTTAAAAACACATTCATATATCATCATACTAATAACTAGGCAGCAGAAATTCTAATCCAGCATTTAATGCAAAAAATCCTGTTTATGTTCTGTGACTTTTACAGCAGACCATCTATACAAAACAACGGCATTAACACTGCCTCAAAAAATTTTAAAAGATGGGAAAGTTACTGCTGTTTGAATAGTAATTGACAATCTTGCATGTTCTTGCTTGGAAACATTGTTCAAAGGAAACAAATCTCCCAGCTGAAAGCCTCATTCCTAGAGTCATCCAATAACACATAAATAGGACCACTTAGACACAGCATTTGTCCCACACTCTAACTTATTCATCTATTTGTAGCGGATATGAGAACTTGTGGGTGGCCTGACATGGTCCTCATTCAATTTTATTTAATTACTCACTTGATTTCACTTGAAAGAACTATTAAAATGGCATCTTAATTGCTCAGTATTATCCAGAATCTTTTTCAAAGCCCATAAACTGTCAGGGATTAAAAATGATGTCACTTTTCTGAATTCCCTATTCAGAGAGGAAAAGAAAAAAAAAATCTCTATCCAAGCCAAAGTAAATACATAAAAATACACAGCCCTTGAGGAGGGGGCCAACTGTTTCCCCTCCCCCTGTGCAGTACTTCTGCTGTGAGCAGGATTTGGGAAAAGCAGATGAAGCACTACAGCCATAAAGGTTTAGGCAGGAGAGGAAAGTCACGTTTGGGATCGTCAGATCCTGGATGTTGGGGTTTCACAGCCTCAGCCCAGTCCACCCCCCAAACACGGAACACTGCCATCCCAGGGTAGATGAAAAGGTCCATCCAGCCCAATATCCTGCCTTTGACAGCAGACAAAGGCAGATGCTTAGGAGAAGAATATAAGAACAGGGTGCATACAGAGTGATTCCCTCTCCACACACCCCCTCTCTTAATATCCTCTGTGTTTCCGACAATCAGGAATTTAGGGATTTCCTGAGCCAGATGTTGCATCTGGACCACTGTTTTTAATAATCAAACAGAAATAGAGACCCTCTTCTACAGAGACTTGGCTGTAACTGCAGCCAGCCTAACACAGTAGCAGCCACAGTGAGTGGCTGTACTGCTTCCCTGAATCTACAGAATATTTCTTCCTGTTTCTGACCTTCATATATAAAAATGCTATAAATTCAGGATTAGTCCTGAGAAGAATTCATAGCCATTAGACTTTATAAACATAGACTATGCCAAGAGTAGTCTTATTAAGAAATCTATTAGTTGAGTGGAAAGCCCTGCTTTTAAATGCACAAACACATAACCTACATCTGCAAGCAGATGTTAACTGCAAGACATATGGAATCTACCCCTTAAATATCTTACCTATCAGAAAGTTTGGTTGGATATTTGATTCAAGTGTACTTCAATCCATCTGGGAACTGGAAAACTAGAAAAAAATAAAATAGATAAGTGTTGGTATAGAAGCATGGGGCAATAGTGCATTGGGACATAACTTCCTTTGAAGTGCTGCAGATTCCTTGTATAGCAGACATCACATAATGGCTATGAGGACCAGCTCTCATGGATCTAGAAATTAGATTAATTTTTACCTTTGGAGAAGAGAGGAAGGCAACAGAGAATACCACCTTCTTTTTTTGTGCTTGATGTCCGTGCATAGCTTTGCCTTTTCTTTCTTTAATTAACCAGTTTGAAAGAAAAAGTGTCTTTTATTTCTGCTTTAAATAAAATCATCTCCCTTTCTTTTCCTGATCAAATGCCACACACTTCTTTTTTTTTTTTTTTAATTATTTTTACAGAGTTAAGTCAAAAATAACTGAACTCTGGAACCTGGTATGCAAATAGTTCTAATCTTAGTGTACACACATGTTCAAGCTTGAAAACAAACTGAGTAAGATAAAAATAAAGGTGCTGGCAATTCTGAATATGGCTGCTTGGCATCTGTTAAGACCTTTAGAATGTCCTGATTTAACTCCCCCATATTTTGTGACTTGACACAGATACACCTGCCTGATCTCGATGCTCAGAAGGCTCTGCAGAGGCAGGGGACAATGAAGGACAGTGATGCCTCACAGTTATCACAGCAGAACCCTGAGGATGGTGAGGGAAAAGAGAGAAGAAATTGCCTAAGCACAGACACATTGGACAATACTTTCTTCCAAGAACTGTACCTCCCAAATACTTTTGTTGCATTTTGCTCCGAAGTTGACTCTTTGGACTTGACTCCAAGCAGTTCCAGTCCCTCAGCCACTCAGCTTATCACAATATACATCAAACTGGTCACACCACATTCCATTCCAGTGAAACAAGAGCATCACTGACTAATTTTATGATAATTCAGCTCCTGATTCATCAGTGTTTAGTTACATGTTCACCTTCAAGGAAGAAGGATCTCCTTTACATACCCAAGTGGCTTACTTAGTTGGAGTTTAGTTTGGAGTTAACCAGCTCCAAAGCCCAAAAGCCATAAACCCTACTGCCCCTCAGCTGGAGTTTCCAGTATTTTGAAGCTGCCTAAGGGAGACTCAAAATTGAGACATTCCCTCAACATCAGGGTCAGACATTGTATTAGGTAGGGATAATGCAGGTCTTCTCTATTTCTTCCTTTCCTTCTCAGCAGCCTTTAGAGAAGTCAAATATCTTCAAGGAGCTGGGATACTGTCAAAAAGCTTGCTGTCTCATGGAGGACTGTAGGCAGTGGAAATAATGCTCACTGTCTATCTCCACCCCTTCTTATTTTGCCCTTCTGCCCAAACTTTTCTGCTCTCCCCCCCCACAATCACCAGTTCTGCCATCCCTGTGCAGCAAGAGAGTCTGTCTGCAGGGCTGGAAAGGGAAGACAATGCAGATGGAGAAATCAAAATCATCCTCTTCGTGGACCTCCTTCAATTAACAATGCAAGAAATATCTTGCCCATCTCTTTTAGCAAGTTTATTACTTTTAAATGCTATTAACTGATCTCCATGTTTTCAGTAAATGCTTTTAAAATCAGGAGAAAGTACTGCTAAAGAGAAATTGTCACAGATTTACACACTGATATGGTGAGTTAGGATTCCCAGAAACACCCACCTGCATGTCCCAGCCAGTGATTCCTGTTGGAGTCAGTGTGTCACATCACTCCGGGGTGTTCATGACATTCAAGAAGTGTCCAGCCTGAGCCCTGCTGCACTCATGCTGGGCTTAAAGTTAAACATTAATTCACTGAAAAGAAGGGAATGGGCAGTTTTGGGTACCAGGGAGACACACACATGTAAGTAAACAGGTACTGTCAATCTTCAGAGCTCCTGAGATTCAACGGATCACCCACCTGGAAAGTCTTTTCTATCATATGAGAAAGTGCACTTAAATGGTATCTGAATTTTCTGAGCATGAAATATGGACATCTACTCTTAAAAAGATACAAATATTGAAAAATGTCAAAGCATGTTTTAACTCTAAGTTGGATTTATCATACAGAAACATGCATAGTTTATAAATTAGAATTTGTCTTTTCCTTAGGCATGAGTTAAAGACAGAAGAAATGGATCCGTTTACTCTGTGCTTAGGTATGTGTATACATGGACACACCTACATATAAGAACAGCAGACATAACACATGTTTTACCATTTAAAAAACATCCTCCTCTGGGAGAATAATGCCAAAAGTGGCTTTTCTCATTTCATCAGTTAGAACTAAAATGGTTTCCAGTTTTGACACAGCTCTCCAGAAATGAGTGTTTCTGCCTGTGACTTCCATGTTACTTGAAATCCAAGGAGCCATTCATCTTTACATCACCTACTGGCCCGTGCTGACTGCAGACCTGTACTCACACAGTCCTGCAAGCTTGCACCACTCACATCAGTCTCAAGAACTGTTTTCCAAAATGCAGCAATGACAATTTGTTTCAAACAAGACAGTCCAGTAGTTGGAGCTACACTGTAACCAGAACTGTCAATGGAAGCAGCATATTTTCCGACTAAGAAATTGCTGATCACTTCAGGCCTATACAAAATAAGGGGGAAAGAACAACCTCAGCTAATTAAAAACTTGCTTTGCAATATTACACTAAAGATTTTTTTCCCCCCGTTTGCTGCTTGCCAGATGTTAACAGGATTGCAGCACATTTTCACAGCTCATGGAGATTTTTGACTGCAAGGTTTACAAGAGACATATAAAATGCATCTCCTAGCCTCTGATACAATTTATTATTTTTAACTAGCCCAAGTGAAAGCACTAAAATTCCCTGCTCAGCACTTGAGGAATGAGTGTCTGAAAAGGAATGCAGCACAATTGCCCCCAAATAACTTTGCCCTGACCCACCAAACAAGGGATAAAACAAATGAGATGGATCTTGCCCTCCTCCTTTTCTGAGAAGTCAGAATTCTCCACTGAAAATAAACCAGTGTCAGTAAGTGACAATTCTGGAATTCTCCTCGGGAGTTAAGTCCCAGCTGAGACACTAAATCACTTCATGAGAATGTGTCCTATTGCAAAACATTTGTATCGGGGTCCCATTGCACTATCCTTGGGTGCATTCCTTTTTTAATAAAATTGACATTTTATTCCACTTAGGCACATCATAAAATTGCCACTAAATAATACTTCATGTGGTAGCTCTGTACTAATCAAAGAGACACTCCGGGCACTTTATTCTAAATGTTAGTCCTAATCCTCCAGGCAAATACTAACAGATAGTAGCAATTTGGGTAGTCACTGGAGCATAAAAAATGAACTTTTAAAAATACCTAATGCTTAAAAAGCAAACAAACAAACAAGCACAATAGTTTTCTTGTCAGAACACAAACAACTTCCCCACAAAATATCTGGGAAAGTATGAAAAGGCAGAAGTTTGGACAAATCCAGTTTAGTCATTGTGTGCGAGTTTCTGCCTGCAGCAGGAAATTTTGATGCTTTCCTCTTTTTTACTGACATGACTGCTGCTGCACCAAAGGAACAGCAAAGAAAGGAATGTATACAAGAGGAGACAGATTCAGCAAACTGAAAAGCATTCCCTGTTTTCCTGCTCCAGGATAGCGGATACCATAGCTGTCAGTAGATGGGTTAAACCAAAATTACAGAGAAACCAAAACTGGTGAAAAGCAATTGTAGAGACAAACATCCACTATGTGACATGGCAAACACACACACAAAGCTGAGTTCCCCAAGTGAATGGCCCCATCTGTACTCGAGAAATGATGACACTATGCTGTGTGTGTTAGCTTACCTTGTAGGAGGCAAAGCCCTCCAATTTCAGTCACAGCCACATGGGTATTACTCAAATTTTACTTGTTACCTGAACTTTTCCAAACTTCCCCTGAAAACAGAAGAGTAAATTGTCTTGGAATCATTAAACAATTTTAATGTGTCCTTTTCTAATTAAGTGGTTGAGGACAAACAAGCAGACTGACCCACACATACAATGAGACTCTAATTTCCCCATTTTTCATTACATTCCCTTTCTTCAAATGATGAAACTGTACAATTTGATCTTTCCTTTTTGGAATGGAATGCTTGGGGACAGCAGGAAATGCTGCTGCCCACCTCACCACATGTAGACCCTGGACAGCAAGATATCCCAGCTAACACATCCTGGGAGTTGCTGCTGAGGTCCAGGCAGTGACCAGAGCTGCCCTATGAGACCAGCCTGTTAGGACAGCTATCAAGCCCAGCATGACTTGATCTGGTCTCTTCAGAGGCACGTGTCCCATGGCATCCTGCAGCCTTCCTGGCTCCCAGAGAGGCTTTTACCCACAAACCTGGGGGAACAGGGACATCAGATGCCCATGGAGTCCTGCACTGATACACACCTCCTGCCATGTTTCTACTGGGGGCACTGGCCAAGGAGGCCAGACAAGAGCTCAGGCTTTTTCTCAAGTTAGAGGAAAGTCAAGATGTACAGTAAGTTCAGGACAGAGCTTACCTTTGTCTAAGTGGTCAGGGCAGTCATTTGGAAGGAGAGTTCTGATCTTGGTGTCTGTGCCAGAGATCATTTGTAGCTTCTTTTTAATAAACAACAGACATATGCATATTTCCATATCCACACAGATATCCACTTAACTACTTGAGCTTTGGTCTAATATCTGCTGAGGGTGGGAACCCTCAGTTTAATGTGAGAAGTGGCACATGGTCCCAGTGAGTACTATTTGAGGGAGTTGAATCCATGTTTGTGCTGGCCTGACCCAACTGGCTATGTGCTAAAGGTGCTCAGCTTGCTGATTGCACCAGGGCCCTTCTGAGGGCTGCAGGACCACGCCAAACATTGTCAGAAAAGTAAGTGCTTCTGAGAGAAGAGGCTCCAACCAGAGGTGTCCAGAACAGAAATCCACACACCTCCAAAAGAGATGGACTTGATGACTATAGGACTCGGAGGAGCAAAGTGGCTTTGTATTTTGGTATTTCCAGTTTGAACACCTATGCCCTTCATGGGGCTGAACCTGAAGCTCTAATGTCACAGTAAATCTTGCATGTGTTACCAGATAGGAATGCTTATCCATCAAAGCCAACCATCTATCCTTTTTGTTACAAATTCTTGTATCTGAATTATTCTGTAAACATATCTTCCCAAATTGTTCTCAAGGAAGAAATACTATAAAGCATTACATCTGTGTAAAACCCCAAACAAACAGCAATTATTTGGTAAAAACTAACTGCTTTTCATGAGAACATTTAAGACAAAGGAAAAGGAACATGTGTACTTGGAGCCTGATGGACGAATGAGAGGAGGGTAAAAGATGCATATAATTTGCATATTTTGTCTTTTGAAGACTGCCATTTCTCCTACCACTTACAATGTGGTTAAGTTCATGGAATGAACTCGCCTGAACACAGATGACAGTAGGATTAAGCAAACACTGTTTACTAGTAAATATTTACCTTCAGAGAAGCTTAGCAACAACTCTGCTAATGTTTGGTGAAAATCCGTGAAACCATGCCTTTAGGGTACAGGTTCTGCTTTTTCATCTGAAAAGTATCTTACATTCCTGTTTATAATAAAAACAGTACAAATTACAGAATCACTTCTGAGTTGGAAGAGATCCACAAGCATTCATCAAGTCCAACTCTTGGTCCTGCACAGGACAGCCCCAAGAAGCACACCGTGTAAATTAAAATGGCAAAGTACTAAAGACCAATCAATTGGAGGCTTCACAAAGAAAATATTAATGAATTTTGCCTACCCAAAGTTAAAAATAGCAGTATTTGAAGATCATTGATGTCCTCTGATATCCTGAGCTTCCAAATCAAAATGTCACTATTTCTTGCATACCTTTCTGCCTTTTCCCTCTTTCTAGATGGAGAATTTTCACCAAAATTTGTTGCTTACCTAAGGCTTCATATTTATGCTTTATGCTTATATATGACTTTGTATGCTAGAAAGGAGATGAGAGATATCAACCATATTTTTCAAAACATATTTTCAACCATGTAAGATACAGAATCACGTTAGTTACCTTTGTAACCTTAGTGAAAATGACAGATCACGTTTCTGGTGAGAGAAGTGACCAGATAATACTTGGTCTCTGTCAGCTCTCTCAGCCCTGGAAACAAGAGACAAACAGTTGAACCACTGTTTTCTCTCTCCTTAGATGTAGCTCTTATGTCAGTATGGTGGCTAGGTTAAATCACAGTCTCTCATAAGATATTATCATTAAGGAGAGGCACATGGGAATCCAGTAATTGGTACTAAAACTTGATCTTTCACCTCTGTTGCTGGTAGATCCCCCATTTCCAGGCTTCACGAGATACTTCAGCTTTTGGAAAATGTTCATGCACTCTGAGCTTGTGACACACATTTTGGTGTTAATCTCATTTTGCTGAGCTCATATCCTAACCTCAGTGCAGGCACTGGCATTCACATTATAAAGACAGATGCTTTAATGCTGGACATAATGACATAACAAGATGCCATGGCTACAAAAGAAACTTAGATATGTTCAAATGGTAAAGCATGCAAATTTCTGCTGTGAGGAAATAAAGCATTTACTTCAAGTTTGTGTCAATACTGAATTTTTTCACACCTGGCTCAAATGTTCTAGGCACAAACCAAGAACTGCAATGTGAAATCCTATGTTTATCCTATAAGGAAAGCTGAAAGAGACGAATATTTATAATCTCTCTTGACTTTAAAATCTACCAGTTCTTTGACCTGTGATCAGAGTGCCAGCAAGCTTTTTGGAAGAGTTCTCCAACCTATTGTTTTCAGACTATTAAAATGCTACAATTTTGAAAATATGCTCCTGTTTTTTAGTGTTTGCTCTACTTTTTATTTTCCTGATTTTTTTTGGGGGGGGCTGGGGGTGTTGGGGGGGGAGGGAGAGGGAAAGGGAAACACATGAAATTAAAACTTTCCCCAAGAGATCTGCTTAAACTACTACATGTTTTTGTCTACTTCAGATGCAACCCTGGGGTTTATGCATTCGTTATAAGGTAGTACAAAGAGTTTCTTACTACTGCTTAACTTCGATTTTGTTCTGACAGGCAATTAAGTATCTTTCTTCAAAGATATTCAGGTGACTTATTTCAGCAATTAACAGATACTTCAAGGGGAACATGTGCTAAACATCTCTGCAGGCATCGTTTACTGGATTTATTCAATATTTGAAAAACTTGAATCCTGTAGTTAATTTTACAAATAGCGAATCAGCTCCCTCTGCCATTGGACGTATAATATTCTGTATATAATGTTCAAAGTAGATAAACCATCTGAACTAATTTCCCCTTTGACTTCCTATAATCTAAACAAGTAAATGCATATCTTTTTTTATCACCTGTCCTTTATACAAAAAAGAAAGAGTAGAAAAAAAGAAAAAGTAGAAGGTAAAGATCTTTCCTACGAAGGAATCTGCAGACAATTGACTTTACAGTGAACCCCTAAAATGCCTAATTCATTTTCCAAACAACATCCTGCCAAACCTGGAGAGTTTGTATCTAAAAACATCCTGATGTGATTTTATCCAGCAAACTCATATTGTTATTATTATTGGCCTAGTTTCCTGAGATATTGATAAAGTGTAATCATGATATGTGTCTTCCCCAATAACTTCTGTGGACACAGCGAACTTCAACTGCCTTTTAAGAGGAACAGAGATGTCAAAAGTATTCAGTTCCACAAGGTGGTTAAACTGAAATGAGGAGAAGCTGCACTGGAAAATGACAACAGTTTTAGACATCAGTGAATGTGAAACATTGTGGGAATCCTAGGTATGGGACAGGTTTCATTGGATCTACCCACGAGACAGAAAGTTATGTATTAGACCTCAGTAATGTTGCTGGCCACAAAACTGTTTTCTGTAGAGTGACTGATATATTTTTAAATTTTTTTTTTTTAAGACAGAAGTGTTCATGTAGTCTCAATCTGCTGCACACCAAATGGCTGCCTGCATCTGCCATCCAGGCTGCCTGCTAATTCCATAGAAAATGTTGCCTCTGCCTCCTGAGAACCACTGCTGCCATTCCCTCTCCCCAACTTATTAAGAGAAGACCTGGAGCTCTACTACTGTGAGGCATTCAACCCAGAAGCCATTATCCCTGTATCACGTTCTGTGGGCAGTCCCACAACTGGTCTCCAGCCCTGACTCCTAAAAACAGCTAATCACATCAGCCATAAAATCTCATGCAATAACTTCATCACAATTATATTTGCATTATTTCATTACATTGTTACAGCTTTGGTTTGCTGTTGGAATTCTATGACCTTATTTTCTGAGTGAAGTATCTCATCTGTAAGCCAGACAACATACAATTATACTCTACCTATACGAACTAAAAAGCCACTAAAAAAACCCACTGAACTGAAAAATGAACCAGTCTCTCTGTCAAGATTTTTCCTGGAACTGATAAATACTAGATTGACTGCAAGAGAAATTGAAAATAAACTTTAAAATATGGCTCTAAGAGCAAACCAATTTGGAGAGTCTTATGGAAACTTTAAAAATCAAATTCAAGCCACAGAGATTTAAAATAAAAAGGCAGAAAGAGCAGATCCTTAGATTCTGTAAACACATAGAACACAGTATTTGTTTTGACTGAAAGATTTCCCACTATATTTTAAAAAATACATTTACTTACATAATACAAAATTATACATACAAAGAATAACATACATTTTATACCCTGACATCATCCATCTCTCAGATGAAAACAAATTGCACTATATGCCTTAAAGATTTTGTCACTGGAAGTTTAGCTAGAAAAACAAATGCCTAACAATTTTAGTGTTCAGTTCTTGAAAGAACTCTGGTTTTCATTACAGCAAAGAATAGTTATAAAAGCTGCTTTTCAAAGACTGTGTATGGTACCACAGCCTGACATTAGGTACCTAAATGAAGCCTATGGTGAGAGTAAATCATGGCATATTTGCAACATCAGTCACTGGATATTTGCAATCAATTTCTATGGAATTAAAGTCTCTAAGAGCATCTAGAGCATGGACAGTCAAAGCATTAATTGTTCCATCACTTTCCTTATGTTTTTAATTAGTTAGGATGACATAGGAAAAGCCATCTCTGGCATTGTGAAGCACCATATATGTAGCCAGGTCACAGCTTTTGTGATTCTGAAAGGTCATACCAGAAAAAGCCCAGCATATCAAGAGAAGTGGGCACTAGCCATGCAGCACCAAACGTCCCACAAATCTCATCTGTGTCCTTCCAAACAAAAGGTAGGCATGAGAAGAGAGATGGAAGAGATTGGGGGTGTACTCTGCAATCCTCGGTGCCTCCCTCCAGAAGCAGATGGCAAAGCAGGATACTTCAGCTAGAAAGGGCAAAGCAGAGCCAGGGAAAGGGTGTGAAGGGAAGCAGGCATGCTCAATAGTTATTTATTTCTACAGCTGTACAGGAAATTTCAGCTGCTGGCAGCCTGCCTTGGCAGGCCACACCTTGTCACCCTTTCTGAGCAGACAGAAAAGAAAGAAAGGGAGCCAAATGAGATCCCTCTGTGGATTCAGCCACCAGTCAACCTGGAGCCAGCAGTATCTGAAATGTGATGTTTGAGTACCTGCTTTGCTTATGGGTTAGAGATTTCTACTTCACCCTCAAATCGGGGAATAGTTGCTGGCCTAAATGCTGGTATGGCAAATGCTGGTAAGACTGTGAAACACATAGAAAGGTTAGATGCTTCCCCTTCTCAGCATGGGAAAGAGCTCAGCTGAAGTACTCTGCCCCATTTGGACTCTGCATTTCACAGATGGAACCAAATGGAGATAGTCCTGAGGGAAGTGATGGAAACTAATCTGAGGTTCAGAAAACCTGATATAGAGGGAAAGACAGAATAAA